GTGGGGGGGGGGGGAAGGCGCATAAGTTGGGCTTTTAAAAATGTTTATGTTTAGAATATTAGTGTTTAAACTGCCCCCTTAATTTATATGTAATATGATTGTGTGCTATTTTCCAGAAAATTATAGGCTTTATAAAGTGTTAATTCATAATTCAACAAATATAAGTGATCTGGAGTCCAGCAATGAGGCTCAAGTTTAAGGTTCCACAATGAACGTCTTGTCTTTTCAGTCCTTTCAGTGGGTCGCCAGACTGTCACACCTCCACAGCAGGTGAGGCCAGGAACCTCACTGCAAGGCCCCTGGGGGTAGAGAGGTCCAGGGAAAAATGGCCTGAGACCCCCTTGGAGAAGCCAGCCTCCCTCCCCGCTTCCTTCCCACACATGCATGCACACAGGGCACATGTGAGTGTGAGTCTGCTTCTATGTGTGGAATGGGGAGAGGACCATGCATGTAGGTGTGTAAGAGTGTGCAGCTGGGTTCTAGGGTGTGTGTGCACGTGTGAGTGAAAGCTGTGAACCCCAAGAAGCCTGCATCCTCAGGGCCTGGGACAGGGGGTGGACCATCACAATTGAGCAGAAAGTACAAAAAAATCCATTTGCAACTATGTGGGAAGGGGACCTTGGCTGGAGACCAGCAGGGATAGAGTAGGGTTAATAGTCTTAGAAAGGGAAGGTACAGGGCACCCTCTTCCTGGACCCTTCCCAGCCCAGGCCAGGGGAGGAAGCCTGTGGGAACTGCCACTCGCCACCGTGGCCCTGGGTTGATTGATATTTCTCTAGGTTCATTCATCTCCAACCACATGGCCCTATCTGAGGTGTCATCAAGGCCAATGGAAAGGCAAATCCAAAAGATCCTTAAGCTTCCTATTCCAATGTTACTGAAGACAAAAGGAAGTTCCTCTTGATAGCTTACCTCAATATTACCAACTCCAAAGGATATGGAGAGCAGAAATACCAGGTCAAAGGAAAAAGTGCTTTTCCCCTATATCTTTCTATTCCTTTCCTATTTATTTTCCCAGGAGCCTCCACATCTGGGGAGAAATTCCTGGCATGGCTTATGCTGGCAAAGACCAGCATTCTCTGAGCCAAGTGCAGTGGGCGAGGAGAGGGGAGGCCAGAGCACGGGTGAGCATGGGTGGATGCAGGGTGTCTGAGCACTTTCCTTCTTCCCATGAGCTCTGCTCTGGAAGGCGGAAGATTTCGATTTTTGTACTCAGTTGTCTGTGAAATGACTTCCTGGCCTTAGCAAGCCACTTTTTCCCTCCAGACTCACTTTTCTGTAAACAGTGGGTTCTTGGTGGGGTCAAACCATTTTTGGTAATGAAATTTTTTCTTTTCTTTTCTCAAATGAATGTTTTGGCTAAACCTCAATGTATACAACAGATTTTTAAAATCTAAGTTGGTACAAGAATGGGCTGAGAGTACCCAGGGCCACCTCCTCAGTTCCCCAACCCAAGGGACCCTGTGGAAATGGAGGCACAGTTTGAAAAACACTGTGATGGGATCTCTAAGGACTCTTCCAGATGTAATACCCCAGGACTCAAGGCTCATACATCCTAATATGCCTCTTATAAAGGCAGGAATGATCTTTTCATGCCACAAATGGAGAGATGCAGGACCAGAGGGTCAAGGGCTTTCTCCAACTCCTGACCCAGTTCAGTGGGCTTTCTCCCAGGATGGACCATCCTCCCCAGAGCAGGTTCATTGCTACTATGTGGGAAATCCAGAACCTGGAGCCTTCTTTATCCTCACCTGCTCTACAGTCCCCTAGCTCTGTACCATCTCCCCAGGAGCCAGTCCTGCCTGGCTCTGGCCATAGAGTCAAGGCATCTACCCCTGCAGCCCTGCAAACTAATGAACCCCTGGGTCTCCCCTCTGCAGGTGAATCACCTGGATCATGAGGTCATCCCTCTGCTGGCTCCTCCCACTTCTCCTCATCTTGGCCTCAGGGGCCCAAGGCCAGTCAACAAGACGACCAAGACCCGGGAGCCGGCCCAGGCCCAGGCCCCAGCCCCGGCCCAGGCCCACTCCAAGCTTTCCCCAGCCCCATGAGCCAGCAGAGCCCACAGACCTGCCTCCCCCACTGCCTCCGGGCCCTCCATCTGTCTTCCCTGACTGTCCCCGGGAATGCTACTGCCCCCCTGATTTCCCATCGGCCCTCTACTGTGACAGCCGCAACCTGCGCAAGGTCCCTGTCATCCCGCCCCGCATCCATTACCTCTATCTCCAGAACAACTTCATCTCTGAGCTCCCTGTGGAGTCCTTCAAGAACGCCACGGGCCTGAGGTGGATCAACCTGGACAACAACCGGATTCGCAAGGTAGACCAGAGGGTGCTGGAGAAACTGCCCAGCCTGGTGTTCCTCTACATGGAGAAGAACCAGCTGGAAGAGGTGCCCTCGGCCCTGCCCCGGAACCTGGAGCAGCTGAGGCTCAGCCAGAACCACATCTCCAGGATCCCCCCGGGCGTCTTCAGCAAGCTGGAGAACCTGCTGCTCCTGGATCTGCAGCACAACAGGCTGAGCGACGGCGTCTTCAAGCCCGACACCTTCCAGGGCCTCAAGAGCCTCATGCAGCTCAACCTGGCCCACAACATCCTGAGAAAGATGCCACCCAAGGTCCCCTCGGCCATTCACCAGCTCTACCTGGACAGCAACAAGATCGAGACCATCCCTAATGGATACTTCAAGGGCTTCCCCAACCTCGCCTTCATCCGGCTGAACTACAACAGGCTGTCGGATAGGGGACTCCCCAAGAACTCCTTCAACATCTCCAACCTGCTCGTGCTGCACCTGTCCCACAACAAGATTAGCAATGTGCCGGCCATCAACAACAAGCTGGAGCACCTGTACCTCAACAACAACAGCATAGAGAGTGAGTGGGGTGGGGCCAGGGCTGCAGGGGCCAGGGCCAGGGAGGGTGGGGGCTCTACACCCTTTCTCAGGAGCCTCAGAGTGGGCAATACCAAAAACATCCTCTGGGAAGGATGTGGCTGGGTGGTAAGTGCTTGCCTAGCATCAGGAGGCTTTGGGTTTGATCCTTAGCACTGGAAAAGCATCCACTTGATCTCTGGACTGCAAATCTTGGCCTTACCACTTGCTGTATGTATGTGACCTTGAAAAGTTAGTTGACCCTTCCAGGAAGTTTTCTCATCTATAAAAAGAGAATGAAAACAATACCTTGTAGCACAAGGTTGATAGGAGGACTTAATAGTTAAATATGGATGAAGTTACAAAATGCCATGTTTGGAGGGTAATAGGTTTTCTTCCTCCATCTGTTCTCATCAGTACCAGTTTCTTTGGCATCTGGATCTATTAATAGGGTAGACATAGAATATACTCCTGGACATTCTCCTAAAAACAGAATAGAAATATTGAATGCTCACCCTGAAATGTCCTGGGCTTGTATGCTGCAGAAGCCAGCACTGTGGGAGAAAGCTTCTTCTCAAAGTTGGACCTCAGTTTTGAAGAGTCTGTGAAAGGTATCCAGAGAGGCAGCTATTTTTTCAGCATATACAACTGGTAAAAATGTGGCAGCTAGGGGAAAAAAAATGCCTGTATGCTGGTGCTTTCTGAATCTGTCTGGAAGGTTGCAATGTTTAGTTACACATTGGAGAGAGAGAGTTGGGCTAAGCTATATTACAGGGTCCTCAGTTTATTGCAGCATAGAACAGGAAGTGGAGAGTCTCAACTGTGCTTTAATCAGAATGTCAGATCTGAGCAGAAGCTTCAGAAATGAAAGAGTATCTGGCTCCCTTCATATAAGGAATGAAGGGTGAAGAGAATCAAGGAAAAAGAAAGGGAAACCTAGAACAATATGGGAGGATCTTTGGTTTCTAATCCAAAAAGAGAGAATTTAAGTTTCTATGATCTTGGAACAAATGGACACAACAGGCCTGTTCATGTATCTGGGATAATTACAAGAAGTGAAGAAGGTGTTTATTTGTTTATCTTGCAAGAAACAAATTCAGGAAAATAGAAAAACAGTCTAATTTTACCCTGCAGATAGCAATTAAAGTGGAACACATTAACCCCAGAAAGATGAATAGGTTGAGAATATAGACAGAAAGGACACTTCAATTAATAGATGGTGACAGTTCCAGACTGTGGAAAAACATGTTGCAGAGAAGTATCTCAGACTGCTGAGGTTGAAGTCAGAAAAATCATGCCCTCCACTGCAAGCGCTCACCCCCACCCAGCCTGACTTCCACATCACTAACAGAATAGGATGGGCACAGTGGGACCTGGGTCAGCATGATGATTATGTTTTCTTTTCTTTCTTTTTTGGTACCGGGGATTCAACCCAGAGGCACTTAACCACGGAGCCACATTCCCAGCCCTTTTTTATATTTTATTTAGAGACAGGATCTTGATGAGTTGCTTAGGGCCTTGATCCTGAGGCTGGCTTTGAACTCAAAATCCTCCTGCACCAGCCTCCCTCCCAAGACACTGGGATTACAGGCATGTGTCACCATGCCTGGCACGATTATGTTTTCAACAATTATCATATTGCTGCCACCTGTACATTTTGCAAAATGACATCATAAACATTCCCTCGTTGATGTACAGGGCAGGCACCACCCTCAACATTTCACACAATGAGGAACAAGTGTCAGAATAATAAGGCACAAAATAATAAAGCCCTATGGGAAAATCCACCTGGGTCAGGGTCCTTCCACTACCTCAACCATGAAAGAGAAAAAACAGGAGAGGAAGAGAAGACAACAATGACTCCTCCCTCTCTTCCCTCCTTAGTCTCCACAGAGGACAAGCAAGGCCAGGCTTAGGGAGAAAAAAGAATCTTATTTAGAAGATGACATGCCTCATCTGTCTCATAAGAGGCAAAGGAGAAAATGGAATCTCCGGCCATGGACACTTGAGAATCAGTGGGCTCATCACCTCCCCAGATCTCTGTTCCTCTTCCTGTCATCCCTACTTCTGTCGACATAACCATCTTCCATTCATCCTCACACTCCACACCCACCCCACAGGCATAATTCTCCAGAGTAATTCTCACATCCCCGTGGCTTCCGATCTTCCCTCCCTCTGTTCCTTCTCCACACTTAGCTAGATTCCTCTTTCTACAGCATAAACCTGATCATGGGGGTCTCTAAGGACCCCTTCCAATTTAACACCCCAGGATGCTATGGGTCGGATATTGTAACATCCAATTCTCCAGAGTGACTTCAATAGCAATTATTGATCATTTCCAACTTCAGTCATTTTGCAAATGAGTAAACAGCCTGGAGGTTAGGGCCACCCATCTATGGTCACCCATTCCCAAGGTCGGCTAGTTCCAGAGAGAATTCTAGAGTCCTTCCTTCTCTTTGCCTCCCATGCACCCTGCTGTTGACGTCTCCCCTTCTTTCTCCATAGAAATCAATGGGACGCAGATCTGTCCCCATGACCTGGTGGCCTTCCACGACTTCTCCTCAGACCTAGAGAACGTGCCACACCTGCGCTACCTGCGGCTGGATGGGAACTTCCTGAAGCCACCCATCCCACTGGACCTCATGATGTGCTTCCGCCTCCTGCAGTCCGTGGTCATCTAGACCTTGCCCTGGGCTGGACCTCCTCCGACCGCACTTGAAGGCGCCTGTGCCCATCATTTTTCTCTGTCGCCCTCTCTTGCTCCCAGCCCCGCCTCTTACCTCTCCCCTTTCTGAGGATGGGAGATGCCGTAGGTTCTGCTGTAGCTCTGAAGCAAGACTTCCCAGGGCTTGATTTGGTCCCACCCAGTTCAAAGGCACCCCCTGCACACACACACCCAAACGGCTGGCCTCCTGTGATCTCCCTCTACTCCAGAAACACAGATGTATGCCTAAGGACTTCACATACCCTCTTCCCTCTTCCACCCATCACTCCTGGCTCAGGCTGGGCCATGGATTGACATCTGACCTTGGTCCTGGCCAAGTGAGACACAGAGATGATTTGGGGAAGCCTAGAGGTGAGCTTCGGAGAGTCCTGCTGGAGATTTCTCCATCTTGGGCAACGCTGCCCCAAAGAGGCTGAGAAATCCAGGTCTCCTCAACCAAGGATCCCTCCTTCCAAAACTGCTGTTCCACCTCCCTGTTCAGGGACACAGCACTGCTCTCTGCCATCCACATTATCCAGGAAGGAAGTGTGAGGGAATGACCAAGATGGGCCGGAGGGTTAGGGTTCCCAAAGGGCCTGCATCTGGCTGTCTCTGCACAGGGATAGTCTGAAGTCCCTCCTCCTTCTCCAGGCAAACCCAGCATACACCCTCCTGCTGGGCCTCAGATAGGAACAGTGGCTCAAAGAACTGGGATTCAGCTAGAGGGAGGGGGCTGGGGATCAGGGTCTGAGGCTGGGCCCATGTCAGTATAGATGGGTCCTGTAGCCCCCCTGACCCAACTTTAACTCAAGTCCTGAGGCCCTGGGGAACACAGTGTTCACAGTGGAAGGTCAAGAGACACCGCCCCACCCCGCCATCTGTTCTGTGTTAGTGTGATCAGCCCAGTCACTTCCACCCCCAAGCAGGCGGTTCTTGAGGAACAAGGAAGAAGGGGCGGAGCATCTGGAAATCTCCCAGAAGCCTCTGCCACATTGGAATTTGGCCCCCATTTCTAAGACAGACACATCAGTGACACCTGGTGGCTGCTGAAGGTCACAGCTGGCTCCAGACTCCTCACCCTCTCCGTGGGGTGATGTTCCAAGGTTAAGAAGCTGGAATAGGATTCCAGCTTGGAAGAGCCACGGGTGACGTGCATGGTGCCTCTCTCCTCTAGAGCCCAAAGGGCACAAAGGTGCAGAGGTCTGCATCTTTACTAACAGTGAATGAGCATAAATGGGAAACCTTGGAGAGCCCAGATGAGAATACAGTTTGACCTGGATCCTGACAGATCCATTTGCTCTCAGCTCCCACATCCATAAACACAGGTGGGGATAAGATGCTCCTTTGAGGTCCCAGTTCTCATGTGCCAAGTCTTCATCTCTGCACTCTCCAGCACACCCTAATGCAGGACAAGTCTTACCTATTACCCCTTTCTTTGCAGTAATTTATTCCCTATATGATTGTCCCTCCCCAAAGGATTCTCTTTTCTCCTTACCTGGCCCAGGTGAGCAGCTCAGCAGGTCTCCAAGTGGCACCTGGGCTTCCTCACCTACCTCTTCCCCCCTAATTTACTCCAGGGGCTCTGACCCTCTGTAGTCCTGAGTGTGTATGCTGGTGGGGAGTATGGAGAGGTGGATGTTCTGGAAACAGGTAACACAGGGCCCACCCTCAAGCCAGGATGAGAAAAGCTCCAAAGGTTTCAAGAAGTTGGATTAAGCCGAGTCCCAAACATTAAGGCATTTCTATTATACTCTCATTCACTTCTTTTTTGCACCTTCTAGGTCCATCCCACCCCCGACTCTTTTCCCTGCTCCATTCAGCTTCCTCTTCTGGCTGCAGCTGGTTTCTCCAAGGCTCCTGCTTAAAGTCAACATATTATTATGGCTGTAAGCAACCTGGTGCTATGGCCTGGATAAGCCCCCTTCGGACCTGTTCACACCCTGCGACCTCAGCCCCTTTGGTGAGGCCCTTAGGGGAGCACAGCTCCTGTGACTCCCCAGGGGGAGCCTAGTCCTGCAAACCTTTTAGTGGCCACACCATCATCATCATTCCATTGCCCCATCTAGAATCTGTCTGCTCCCTGTGTTGCTCTCTGCAGCTGTACACCACAGGGGGAGCATTCAATTGGCATCATAGGTTACCCCCACCCCGGCCAAGCACACACAATGGGCAGGTTGCCTTTCAGTTTAGAAAGCCCCTTCTCTTTACCCAAGTTCATTGCCTCAGTGCTGTTGGCATCTACATAAACAGGTGTGTACGTAGGTGTGTATGTGTACTCTGCACATATAGCTACTCTCTCTTGAAGACCATGTTAACTTTGTGGAACAAGTTTCACATTTCAACACGCTTTACAGCAGAGGAAATAAAGTAATATGAAAAACAACTTGCTTGAAATTGAGACTGTGAACAGGTCAAGATAATACCTTAAAGTCATCTGTATCCCTATCCCCTGACACCACCCCCCACCTCCACACCTCTTACTGAGAAGATGGGTGGAGGAAAGATATTATTCTTAAGAATCTGCTGGGACAGTCATCTCAAAGCTTTTTCTCAGAGAATTTCCTCAAAACTCATAGCCCTCAAGAGAAATTATTCCTAATGTTAGACTAGAAATCAAACAGCCACATCTGAATCCAAACCCCCAGGTTCTTTTGACCCACAGACACTAAATTGTCAAGGTCTCCCCAGGCTCAGTTTTGAGGCACAGGTGGAAAGACAAAACAGTCAACTTTCCTGGCCAAGCTTAGGGATGAATTGGGGAAATGTAATGTGCACAGGAACAATGGAAAAGCCATTTTGAGGGCAGAGAATAAAGGGCCAAATCATTTGAAATGGGGGTCTGTAGGCCATGCAGAAGTTCCTGAAAGGCAAGCAGGGGGTGCCCCTGGCTCCTTTTTGGAAGGAACTTGGCTCCAAAAGTGACTTACTAGAATCCCAGTTCATACCACCTTCTGTAGGAGAAAACTGCCAAATATGCCCTCCTGCTTCCCATCCTGCCTGCTGAACACCTGCTTCAGGTCCATTTGGCAAATGTTCAGGGACATCAACTATAGGCCAGGTTCCCAGTTAAGAATTTAGGCTGAGCAATACAGACCCCATGCCCTTGAGGAATTCATAACTTGGTAAAGGGGGAAATTCCACGAATTGGATTTCAGTCTGAAGCATTAGGAGTCATGCTGTGTACAAACAGCAGGGAGGAGAGGACCCCTGTCTCTGCTTAGGGGAAACTGGAAAGGCTCCTGTCATTTAAGCAGGCTCTTAGGGATCACTCGAATTTTGTCAAATGGGAAAAGGAAAAAGCACATGTCTGGAATGGCCAACTCAAGGAGGAGAGGAGTCCACCCTGGGGAAGGGGGAGGGGGATTCTGAGGAGAAGGAAAGAACTGTGTTCCTGTCCTGGAGTTATGTGGCTAGCAGTCCTCAGCAGGGAATATACCTTGCTATCCAAAAAGCAGGAGGGTTCTTGAACTTTCCACCCCCACCACTCTCCCTGCCCAGAACATAGGCAGCAACAAGGTCATCTGGCCAGGCTTCTGTCCACACCACCTGCCACCTCCGTTCCATCAACATGCCTTGTGCCTCTGCTAATGAGAGATTAGGATTAGGACGCCTCCCCCGACCACCCGCCCCCTTTGCCAGGCTCTCGCGGAGCTGAGCCGTCTGCAACAGCACGCGGGTGGGCCATTTCCCACGCAGGTCACTCATACACGTCCATGGCCACTCCCTGAAATCCATGGGAACCGGTGTGTAACCGCGAGCTTGCGAAAGCGAGAACAGAAGTTGGGAGAGAGTCTAGGACCGGAGCCTGCATCAGAAGGAGGCTCCCAGCGGAGGATGCGGGGGCGCGCGTCAGGCAGCCGGCGCATGCGCGGTCGCGAGGCTGGCAATGAGGTTGGAGGGAGCTCGGAGGAGGACCCATCGCAGGGCAGAGGCATCGCGACCTGCGAGGGTGTCATGAGAGAGTGGAGAGGGAGGGAGGAAGCAAGTGGCGGGGGAATGAATGAACAGTAGCGTTGGCTGGAATAAAGTGTGGGACCGGAGGGGGGATGCTCCCAGACCGACCTTGGGGACATAGGTCCTATGGCCTGGCTATGGAGAGGAAAGCCGAGGAGCACAGTCTGCCAAATGCGCCATCTGCTTCCCCGGATCCCTTCTGGCTGCAGGACTACACCTCCCTCCACCCAGGAGAGGCCTGGATGGTGTAGCTCCAGGGTGGGGAAGTGCCAGAGGCACAGGAACGTACATTTCTCAGGTGCCCAGCTTTCTTGGGTTGAGGGAAGGCCCCCTCCCACACCGGCTATTAGGTCTGCCCCTTTACCTGTTAGACCAGGGCAGAGATGAGTTTGCCAAGACCATCTATTCTGAGTGCCCGAAGACACATGGTCTCAGGGCTCCCTGGGATGAGGTCGAAAAGATGAAATCCTACAAACCAAGGCAAACTCTGGTGTGAGACTCAGGGAATCTAGGTGCTGGGTGTGGCTCTGAGTGATCTTGGGCAAGTCGCCGCCCTTCTCTGAGCCTTGGCTTCCTCATCTGTTCAATACAGGGATTAGACTCAGTTGGCCTTGCGGTTAGAATAAAGGATTAGCCAGTGGGAGGGAACAGGGAGCAGGGAACATCATGGAAGAGCCTGGCAGAGGTGCCGGCTGCAGGCTGGCAGAATCAGAGAAACATTTTAGCCACGCCCACTCACCGCCTGTCTGAGGCACCAAGTAAAGAAGAATTTCTCTTGATAAGTACATCTCTGAGGGGAGGATGTACTTCCCAGCCAGCCCCAAAGGCTCCTCATGGTGTCTTCAGTGTTTATGATCAGGAAGTCCTTTCTGGTGTCCAAGCCCAACTCCCTTCCATGGAGTTGTTGGAGGAGGCTTCTGGTTCCGTGTCCTTTCTTCCTAGAAGTTTTAAAGAATTTTCTGCATCCTCCTCCTGATCATCATCTGTGAACTTTCAGTTGGCTTTCGAATCCTTCCCCACCCCCTCTTCACCATCTCTTTGCATCCCGCAGGCCCAGACCCTCCCGCTGGTGATTTTGTTCAATATGGTTCCTTTCAGGGACTGTGGGTGTGGGGGCTGGTTGGCACTCTTTGGCTCAGCCTCTTTATCTTTGGATTCCATCTATGAAGCCAATCCTCATCACTCTTTGGCTGGAGAGGAAAAAAAAAAAAAACTGGGAAGGCAAGTTCCAGCCCTCCACATACCCTCAACCCAGCCCTCTCAGAAAGTTCAGAATCTGAGGGTGAGGCCCCTTCATTTTAGGGTGGGCACCGCCTGCCCCTCAAAGACCTGGCCTTATCAGGAGGGTGGCCAGAAAGAGAGGGAGCAGACAGTTAAGAGAAAGAGAGGGGGTGGGTGGCAAAGCTGGTGGAGGGAGAGAGAGGAAGAATTTCCTTCATCAAGCAAAGGAATGGAATTGGGGACCCCCTGAGGAAAGAGGAGGGGAAACAGCAGGACATCACAAAGAATGAGAAGTCTGATTGGACCCACGCCTGCCTGCCTGCTTGTCTCCTGCCCAGCGTCTGCCCCACGGCAGCCACCCTTTCCATCAGAGTCCCTCTGTCTGTATGCTGTAGGGCTCCATTTGGAACCAAAGGGCATCTAAAGGGTAAGGTTCAAGGTTGGAGGCCTCAGGGCCACAGGTGAGGGGAAAGAGCTGGGGCTGGGCCAGGGAGGACGGAGGGAGTCTAGGCCTCTGGCTGCAGAAGTTGGAGGAGGCTTCTGGTTGGGTAGTGAACTCTGCCTCAGGAGTTTGTTTAAAATTCACATAGTTTGATTTGGAGTAAGGAATGGGAAATGAGGTGAAATGTGCCCCTTTGCTACTGCTAGGGGCTTAGCCCTTTGCCCAGCTGAAATTGAGGAGGAGGGTCTACTAGAAATGTGTGCAGGGACTTTGGGGAGGGCCGTGTGATCAGTCACACACCTGCTGTGTCTGTGTATCCACTCTCCATGGATGCATCCACGGCCATTCCACACACATCTCTCTGCCCATCTGAACAACATGGGTGAGCTAAATAAATGAACATTCACACTCACGTGACCATCGCACATGGGCATGGTCACCAGTGTGCTCACACATACACAGATGTACAGATATCTAAGGAATTTTCTGGATGTGTCTACTTTCTTACAACACACAAAGAACTCTCTGATTTCTAGAAATAGGTTTGTAAAAAGTTGCCTCTCTCAATCTATTTTATGAACTAACATTCTTTACATTGCATGTCAAATTGTAAGTCCATGTCTCCAAACAGATGAGGTGCTCCTGAGAAGGGCCACACCATGTTCATTCTGCCCCTGCCAGAGGCAAGTCTAGTGCCAGGAACTTAACAAGGACCCCATACATGTTTGTTGAGTGAATGCATGATTGAGTGATCTCTAACACACACACACACACACACACACACACACACACATACTACAAAAGACTCCTTGAGGTTGAGGGTTTCTCTAAATCTAATTTAGTGTCTAACTGTTATATTTTGAGTGTGCGGTTAAGGGAGAATATCTACACAGATGCACAAATGCATGCCGGGAGCGCTGGGAGGTGCATGGATAAAGGGCTTTGGTGAGTGTGTCTGTGATGAGGAATCAGGATTATGTGGGTGTCTGCATGTGCTGTATGAGATAACACCAGTGTGGGTGTGTGGAAGAGGTGCTGGGGGTGCCCCCAGTCATAGCCCAGCCTTTAGGGAGCTTGAGTGTGGAGTGAAGGTGCTGAGTAAGCGTGCATGATGAATGGTAGGAAGGGGAGGATGTTTTCAAGCCATTCCCACGAGAGTCTCAGACAGCCGCTCTTCCTCATGCGCACCCCCCAGGATGGATGCTGCAGTGATTCCACCCAGTTCTCACCCCATTCCCACCCCCAGGCCCCTCATGAGGCTCTCCACGTTGTTCCTGAGCCTGCTGGCCTTGGTGCTGCGGGAGGCAGGGCCGGCTTCTCTCCCAGAGAAGGAACGGAGGAGGAGAGAGGAGCAGAGCCACTATGGGGAAAGCGATCCTTACTCAGAGCTGCATGTGGGGAGCTACATGGTGAGCCCGGATGACTACAGTGAGGTCATTGACCTGAGCAGCTATGAGGAGCTGGCCGACTATGGGGACCAGCTGGCTGAGGTGAGGGACACGCAACTGACCATACCCTGCAAGACCAGGCCCCTGGCCCCTCTCCACCTGCCCCATGATGCAGGCTTCTCAAGCCTCCAACTCTCTGTAAGGGGCATAGGACCCTCCATAGGACATTGTCACTTACATGATATTAAGAAAGAGAACACAAACCTCCAGTTAGAATATTGATGGCAAATTAGAAGGACCCCCCCACACCCCCTTAGAAGTCATGCGTCCCTCCCAGGCTGTCAGGTATGACAGTGTGCCTCATAGAGGTGAGGGTCAGCAAAGTCTTCATATTCTCCCTGAAAAGGAAATATCACCTGCATCTCTTTTCCTAGACTGTCCTCCAGTTTGAAGCCTCTGCTGTGGGTGCTGTGAGCCAGGTCAGCATGGAGGAGCACCTGCTTAGGGAATTGGGGACCCAGGTGCTAGTTCTGCCTTAGCACCGACTGGCTCCCTGATCCGAGTCCCTCCCCAATCTGGGCCTCAGTTTCCTCATCTATCTAATGAACACGTGGATCTGATACTCTTTAAGGTCCCTTCCAGGCTCACTCTTTATGCTCTTCCTCCGTCCTCTTTCACAGTGACTCTTTGCAAGTTTGAGATGGGTCACTGAGGTTTCTAAAGCCCAAAGTTAGGTCCTTTGTGGGCAAAATCCAGCCTACTATATGCTGTGTGCTGTGTCTCCAGGTTAAGGTAACCAGTCTGGCTCCTCCAACCAGGATCAGTCCCACCCAGAGCAAGATGACTCCAAGGACACCCTTGTCAAACCCCACGATGACCAAGCCTACTCTGCCAGGCCCACTGGGCTCCCCAGCCAGCCATGGTAAGTACACAGTCAAATGGTTATCATATCTGTAGGTCCAAGGTCCGGCAGCCATGACCCAGCGCCAGGTGGTACCCAAGTGGAGTGTGGTCAGGAGTAGAAACAGAATGTCAAGGCTGGCACCTGACAGCAGGGAGAGGAGGGGAAATAGCCATGGGGGGGGCGGGGTTGGCTTTCCTAAACAAAGCAACTGCAAGCTTTCCCTGTGCCCCAACAGAGCCACCCTACCCTAATTAACAGCATCACTCAGGGAGCAAGGTGAGTGGTAATTAGATTAGAGACAATTAAAAGCCTGTAGAGAAGAATAAATAACTTTGTGGCTGTCACTGGCATGGGGGCAAATGAAGCAGTCACTGCTTTCAGCCTCACATTCACCTCCTTAGCAGCCCCAGCCCCTCCCCGTTCCCTCCCAAAGCCTTTCTGGAGCCAGGGATGCTGGTGTGGCCAATGGAGAGCGCTCAGAACGCTGCTGGGGACCAGAAACTGGGGCATCGGAAGGAAGCAGCTCATTCTGGGCCTGCTTGACCTTGGCATCCCTATTCGCAGGGTATTTGCGTGGGTGCTCCTGGGGGACTGGAGCATCAGCCAAGGCCTTTGGTCAGGATCCGTGACCTTGCAGAGCCATAGAAGCTATTAAACCCTTAAGAGACTGTAAAGAGCCTTAGCTGGACCTGCCATTCAAGGTCTTGGGATAAGAAGGGTCCTGGGGCCCCCTGCTTTACCAGTCCCGCTGGTCACTGCTGGCAGGGAACTGCTACTTCATCTTGGGGCTGTTATTGCTACCGTAGTGCTTCCTTGAGTCGGGCTAAAAATGGCCTCACAGGAATTTCTGTCCTGCGAGAACAACTGACAGAACCTCCCGTACAGTTCCAGGGCCTGAGCCAATACAGTCTTCCCAACTTTTTAAAGGTGGTCTGAATTGGATGGACTGCCTTAGCCTCATGAGTGCTGGATACAGAGGTGGGGCCATGGACTGGGGCTAGGGGAGGGCTGTTTCCCAGTAGAAAATCGGGGTGCTGCTGCCATAAGAAGGGGAGATGGATGTGGCACGGGCATTGGCCAGTCCGTCTGGGCCTTACTGTGCTTCTCAGAGCCTCAGAGAACATGTCCAGCTGCTCTTCCCAAAGGCAGCTGGCAGACCCAGCAACCAACCCCTGAGTATTCCACTGAATTCTGGCTTTGTTTCATCTTTACTGTTCCTATTGAGACCAGAGAGGAGACCTATGGGGAAAAAGTCCACTAGATATTCTAGAAATGCTCACATAGACCCAGGAAAACCTACAAAGGACCAGGGTCTGATGAAAGTACTGAGTAGGAACTAAGGGTGAAGCTGATTGATTCTCTTAGGACAGGCTGAGAGCCATCAGTACCATCTGGGTGCATCAGGCCAATTGGTTCTAGACAGCAACCCACAGGCCATCAAGAGGACACGTGGCTCAGATACTCCCTGGGTCAAGAACCATGGGCTTCAGAGGCTGAAGGGAGTCTGATCAGGAGTCTCCCTTTGTTCTGTCTTCCACCTGGGCCAGGCCTGCCCACCTGCCTGGTCTGTGTGTGCCTCGGATCTTCTGTGTACTGTGATGACATTGACCTAGAGAACATTCCTCCTCTTCCCCGGATGACCACCTATCTGTACGCCCGCTTCAACCGCATCAGCCGCATCAGGACCAGAGACTTCGAAGGGCTGAGTATGTAATGCCCTGAGAAAAGGGGAGAGGGGCCACCAGGGTCCTTTCCTTTGCATCTGGCCACATGAACAGTGACCAGACACTGTTCTCCCCCACCTGTGTTAGTCTTTTTTAAAAATATTTTTTAGTTGATGGACCTTTATTTATTTCTATGTGGTGCTAATGATGGAACCCAGTGCCTCACACATGCTAGGCAAGCGCTCTACCACTGAGCTTCAGCCCCAGCCCACCTGTGTGTTAGTCTTTCCCTTTTAGTTCTGTCTCCAGCTGTCAAAGGGAAAGATCCCCCAAGTCCTTCTAATTCCTTTCCTTGACGAGTTTAAATGGTAGAAGTGTTCTGTTCTCATTTTTTTTTTTCTACAAACATCTGGGCAGGGAAGGTGGGATGAAGCCAACATTTTCAATATGTCTCAGCACCTATAGCTCTGCTGGCCTCTGGACCAGATCATCCTCCACCTATAAATGATGCTGTTGGCTGCTCTAGGCCTCATGTCCTGATGGGAGAGCCGGGCTCCACTCCAGCTTCCATTGCCAATCACCCACAGCCTTTCCAGCCTTGGTGCCCATTGTGAAAAGTGCAGAGGGCTCAGTACGCTGATAGGGACCAGGTGGGATGGGTCCAGAGATTCCCGGGCTAGTTGGCTCTTGCCTTTCAGAGGTTTCTTCCAGTGGGATCCAAGGTGGGCAACCCAGAATCCAGGGAAAGGTATTGAGGAATCCGCGGGCTTTTCCAAGGGGTCCTTTAGACTGTGATTTCTTCTGGTTTGGACCTACTGCAGGGAGAAAGCTGGTTAGAATTCCCTTATCTTGAGAGGGATGGAGCAGGATACCCAGGCACATCCCTGCAAGGAAAGATAATGTGTTCCAGTATCTTTCTTTGTTCTCTCCCAATGTCCCTCAGCAAAACTGAAAAGGATTGACCTCACCAGCAACTTCATCTCCTCCATTGACAATGACGCCCTCCGCTTGCTGCCTGCCCTGCAGGATCTGATCCTCTCAGAGAACCAGTTGGTGGCTTTGCCCCTGCTGCCCAGTGGCATTGAGTTCCTGGATGTCCGCTTGAATAGGCTCCGGAGCTCGGGGATACAGCATGAGGCCTTCAGGGTGAGTCAGGGACTCAGACACCACACGCCACCTGCCCCCACCCACATCATGCGCGTTGCACCCTCCAGGGTGTTCTGAGGTCTAAAAATCCATAATTATTTTTCATCCTTTTCTGTTTGTACTTTGGGTTGAAAGAAATGGATTCTGACTCAAGGAAAAGGAGTTTCATAGCATGCCATTCCAAGAGCCTCCTCAAATGGGACACCCAGTACTATCAGGCCTCATGAGCCTGTTACTGGGAATGGGGGGCCAAAAAACAAGATCAGTGCTAAGAAACCAGTCTTCCTGCTCCTCTGAGGGGCGTGTGTCTCCTGTCTTGGCTTCTTTCTCTGCTTCGGCTCCATTCACCTCTCTGCACACCTGCATCCTCAGCACATTCCCAGGATCTGCTCCCCAAAATGTCAGACCCCACCCCCAAATGCCTTTGGCTTTGGCTTGCAAAAGTGCTAACTCTAACCCTAAATCCTAAGTATCATTTTCCCCAAAAAAACCATCAACAAGTGATTTTCTATTGTCCAGTTCTCAAGAGAGTCAATCCAATGAGTCCTTGGCTGTCTGTCTGTCTAGTTTTGATGGGAAGGGCTAAGTTGTAAGATGTGACTATGCCCTCCTACGATTATCAAGAATACAACTAACAATAAATATTGTTAAGGATGTGGGGGAAAAGGTATATTCATACATTGCTGGTGGAACCGTAAACTGGTGCAACCTCTCTGGAAAGCAATATGGAGATTTCTTAGAAAACTTGGAATGGAACCACCATTTGACTCAGTTATCCCACTCCTTGGCATATACCCAAAGGACTTAAAATCAATATACTACAGTGATGCAGCCACATCAATGTTTGTAGCAGCTGAATTTACAATAACCAAGCTATGAAACCAACCTAGGTGCCCTTCAACAGACAAATGAATAAGCAAAATGTGATATATACACACAATGGAAAATTACTCGGCCATAAAGAAGAATGAAATTATGGCATTTTCTGATAAATGGTTGGAACTGGAGAATATCATGCTAAGTGAAATAAGCCAGTCCCCAAAATACCAAAGGCCTAATATTCTCTGATATGTGGATACTGACCCACAACAAGGGAGGGTGAGGAGGGGAAGAATAGAAGTTCATTGGATCCGACAAAAGGGAATGAAGGGAAGGGGGGCGCATAGGAATAGGAAAGACAGTAGAATGAATCAGATATAACTGTCCTGTGCTCATATATGAAGGCATGACCAGTGTAACTCCATGCCATGTACAACCACAAAAATGGGAAGTTATATTCCATGTATGTATAACATGTCAAAATATACTCTAGTATCTAAAAACAACAAATTAAAAACATATGCCCCCCTGGGACAGGGTTAGGAAGAACAGAGGGTGCAGTTCCGCTGAAGAAGTGAAGCACAGTGTGGACAAGGCTGACCCCTGCATGCATACTGGCTGGACATTAGTAATGGCCTTCAAAAGCCCATTACTCACTTGCCAGCCGTGTCTTCTTCATTTGGACTCACTTTCAGCCTCTGTCTGTCTCTCTTAAGTACAGTCATCAACACCAGGCCACATATATGATAGTGAACTTCTAAGATTGTCTCACCTAGTGATGTTGTAGCCTTTTTAGTTCATGTAAGTACGCTCTGTGATGTTCGTACAATGGCAGAATTACCTGAAGACACGTGTCCCTGTCGTTCAGCAATCATGACTATGGTGGGCTCTTTTGGCAAACTGTTTAGAAGCATCAAATATCCAGGCACAGTAGTGCTCACTTGTGATTCCAGCAACTCGGGAGGATGAGACAGGGGGAGCGCAAGTTTGAGACTAACCTAAGTAACTTAGTTAGATCCTGTCTTGAAATATAAAATACAAAGTGCTGGGGAGGTAGCTCAGAGGTAGAGAAGCTTGGGTTCAACCCTCAGTACCAAAAGAAGGAGAAGGAGAAGAAGAAGAAGGAGGAGGAGGAGGAGGAGGAGGAGGAGGAAAGGAAGGAAGGGAGGGAGGGAGGGAGGGAGGAAGGGAAAGGAGAAGAGGAAGAGGAAGAGAAAGAGAAGAAAGGAAGGGAGGAAGAGGAGGGGGAAGAGGAGGAGGAAGGATGAGCAGAAATCAAATAAGGCAGCTACCATTTTGAAACCGGGTGAAGGCACACACTTTCCTGTTCTCTCCCCTCTCCCAAACACCTTCCACCCTCAGCCTTCTGGGTGCAGTGCTAATAGCCCTACTGCCGTGGAAACCAGAACCCTCCCCTGAGGTGTCCTCAGGCCCCAGTCTTCCCATCTCAAAGTGAAGAGCTGGGGTCTGGTGATCACAGAGCCCCCCTGGACTTGATGATCCAAGTCCAGCCCTGAGAAACAGCCTGTCTCCGTCTTAGGAGGACTTCTTTGCCTTCGGGGCTGTTTCCTCCGTCCAGGGGAAGGCAGGGGCTTTGGAACCAGAGGGACCTGGGCTCATGGGTGAGTCATCTCACCTCTCTGATCTTGTTTCCTCATCTGCAAATTGAGAGTAATAACACCTGCGTGCCCCAATGGCCGCAGGATTTAGTAAAACAGCACTTACACAGAGCACGGGCAGATGACATAGATAGTAGCTGCTCCATGTACACTAGCTATTATTCTTCCTTGTTCTCTGAGCCCCCAAAAGCTTATCTCATCCCAAATCCTTCTCTGACTCGCCTGCCTGATTCTGAAGGTGCTCTCAAGCTCACACACCCTTGGTCTGGGTGTGCCTTGGATTTTCATTCTCTGACATCTCCCGAGCAAGTTCCACACGTCTGCACTGGGGGGAAAAAATCCCTTCTGATGGCAGAGAAGTTGAGGCTGAGCTGAAATGTCCCCTGGTCCTTCCTCACCTCTACCTTATCCCTGTTCATCCCCTGCTCCCCATAGCTGTCACTAACAGCCCCTGCCGTGCCTCTAGCTGCTTGCACCTCAAAAACAGCAGCACCTGGATAGGTAGAGGTAGTGGAGTGTGCGTCAACTCCTTAAAGGTCCTAGCTCCCCCCTCCCACCACCAAAGAGCCCACTACAGAGCGCGGCACACAGCAGTAAACCCTGAGTGCATGGAAGGGGGTCACCTGACCCTGGCCACCTCAGGAACCTCCTCACTGCCCACCAGCCTCCCATGCTCTTTGTGTCCCTGCAGGCACTGGAGAAGCTGCAGTTTCTCTACCTGGCAGACAACCGACTGGATTCCATCCCCTGGCCTTTGCCTCTGAGCCTGCGCTCACTCCACCTGCAGGTGAGGAGCCTCAGCCACAGGGGGGCCACAGCCAGTGCAGAGGGTGGACAGCAGATAACAGGGCAGGGGGCCCCATAAGGCCTGGGCATCAGAGGTGTGTGGGAGACATGGTCTCGTCTAGATGGCTGTCCATGGCTCCAGTTTGATTTTCTCTGTCTCTTCCTTTGAAAACACTCCCTCTCCTCTACCTCTTCATCTCGTCTCAGCCACCTGCTTTTCCTACCTCCTGTTTCTCTTCTTCTCTTCCCATCACTGCCTCCTTCCTTCCTTCTCCCTCCCATCCTTCACCCCTCTTCATCTCTCCCACCTCTCTCCCTGCTTGATACTCTCTTCTCACCCCTCGTTGTGTGGTCTGGGCTCTGGTGCCTCGGTTTCCCCAAGTGCACCGGAAGGGCAGGGCTGGTGGGAAGGGCTGGTGGCACCTTCAGTGCTGCCTGGGGCCAGAGCGTCTGGGAGGGTGCTCAGCTGCTGCGCGTTCTTTCCAGAATAATATGATAGAGACCATGCAGACAGACGCCTTCTGTGACCCTGTGGAGCACAGACACACCCGCAGGAAACTGGAAGACATTCGGCTGGACGGGAACCCCATCAACCTGAGCCTGTTCCCCAGCGCCTACTTCTGCCTGCCTCGGCTCCCCATAGGCCGCTTCACCTAGTCTGTCCCTCCCTCTCTTCCAAGTAGGAGCCCTTGGAGGCCCCCAAGGCCACATAGAAAATCACCTGTCTAAACAGTGGTCTTTAGCCCAAGCATTAGAGAGCCTCATGCTCCAGTTGCAAAAATCACCACCTTACTCCCCACCCCACCCGCGCGCGCGTGCACACACACACACACACACACACACCAGTGTCCTTCAGTAGCCAAATTTGCATTTCTCCCTCCTCTTTCTTTAACACCTTATGGCTGCTGGCTCAGGAACTGCAGTGTCTGCACAGAGATCTTCTCCTTGTTCCCCATCCCTCCCATCCACACCGAATGCCAGGAAACCCATGAAAGAGGAGGAGGAGACAGAGGAGTTCAGAGAAATGAAGCAGAGGATGGAGAGGGAAGAAGAGAGAGGGGGAGAAGCAGTCGTGTGCTGGAACCACTCTTACTAATGACGAGGCTTGCAAGATTGAATTTTCCAGAACTTTGCAAATCAGTTATTAAACACAGTCATTATGAAAAATTATATTATATAACCTCACAATTAAACGTATCACATCAAAATACATAAATGTAGTAAATACTCAAAACTCACTGCTTCTCAATTGTTTTACTATTAATCACACTCCTGAAGTTATTTGTGTAAGATATCGGTGTGGTGGAGATTTCATACAGTGATGCACTACTGGGCATCTTTTCCCAGTTCCTTGTTTGGTGACATCATGTTCGCTACTTGATGTTGGCCATGGTAAAAGATTTTTAAAATGCTACAGATTGGGGGGGTTTTGTTGTTGTTGTTTACTTACTTATTTATTTTTTAAGAGAGTTGGTTGCTCAAGCTTTCTAGAACATCAAAGAAAAGAAAAAATAAAGCCAGTGGTGCATGCCCGCAATCCCAGCAGCTCAGGAGGCTGAGGCAGGAGAATTGTGAGTTCAAAGCCAGCCTCAGCAATTTAGCAAGGTCCTAAGCAACTCATCAAGACCCTGTCTCTAAATAAAAAAATAAAAAAGGGCTGGGGATGTGGCTCAGTGGTTAAGCGCCTTGGGGTCCAATCTCCTGTACCAGAGAGAGAGAGAGAGAGAGAGAGAGAGAGAGAGAGAAATAGCTATTTAAACTATCCATTCCTTACCCCGACACTGCCCTACTTGGGGTGAGTAGGGTTTCTGTGGGATGTTCCTTAATATTTTTTAGTATTGGGGATTGAACCCAGAGGTTCTTTAGCACTGAGTTACATTCCCCATCCCTTTTTATATTTTATTTTGAGATAGGGTTCTGCTAAATTGCCTAGGCTAGCCTCAAATTTGTGATCCTCTTGCCTTAGCCTCCCAAGTCTCTGGGAACCTTCCTTAATATCTTGGGACCTGCTTAAATTTGGAGGGCGGCCAATCAGAAGATGGAGAGCTGATCCAACTCTTTACCTGGACACCCTCTTGATAGCGCTGACCTTTTCCCAGCCTCACCTGCCAGTCTCTGAGCTTGGCACGACTCGCTGGTTCCTGGCCACGGTTGTTGCCATCCTTCCCAACCTCCTGCACGTTCAACCACCAGAGGGCAGCCTTGTGCAGAGATAAATAAATAAACAGAGTAATTATTCACCTGCAGCCTTTTGGAGGCTGGGTGGAGCCTGCTGTGTTAGGAGGCTGGGAAGAAGGGAGCCATTGTTTCTTGAATAATAAGTGGGGATGGAGGTTCCCCCCTTTCCCTGCTTCTCATAAGGAGCCACTGGGCAGGGAGGGTGTGATGGATGGTGTTGGGCATCAGGTTTTGGCTGAGGCATAGGGCAGGCATGGTGCAGGCAGTACCTTTACTCATTGGGCAAGGGTTTTATGGAGCACCTGCCTGCTGGATGCCAGACACTGTTACATGCTGGTGACAAGATGGTGTGCAACAGAGACATGCTCCTTTTCCTCACAGAACTTAGACTCTAGCACCGAAGACAGGTCTTGAACAAATAATCCCACAACCAACCACACTGTTCAATTCCACGTCAGTGCTATAAAGGGAAGCTTGCAAGAAGGGGACCAAGTCTAAGGGTCTGGAAGACCTCCTGGCACAATTAACATTAAAGCTGAAAGCAAAGATCAAGTAGGAGTTAGCCAAGCCATGGGTTGCCAGGGCGACCACTCAAGGTCCCAGGTGGTCCTTGAGTCTGGAGGGACAGGTGTTTCTTGTGGCCCACTTGGAAAAGAACCCCATCTATCTACCTCCCCCACCCTTGTCTAGCACCTCACCAAGCACTTTGGATCCTCACAAAACCCTATAAGAAGTCAGGGATTTATTATTCACATTCTTCAGAAGAAGAAATTGAGAACTAGAAAAGATAAATCACTTCCTGTCAGTGGGAAGTCTTGGAAGTGGTAGGAGGTGCCCTTATGCCTTGGCTGAGGGGCACGCCTTCTCTCCTGGAGACTGGAAGGTACTAGCACACCTCACCCCATGGGAGGACTAGGCAGGCCTTTTAGATTGTGAGCTCTCGCTGGCTCCCAAGTGTGTGCCTGTAGAATCTATGTGTGTCTAGCTTTCTCAGTCTCTCTCTCTCTCTCTCTCTCTCTGTCTTGTCCCCTAGTCCTATTTCCTTCCAAGCCCCGTATCTCTTTCATATCCTGCTCTCTTGGATTATGAAAAGGCCTAAGTCAGAACAGCTGAAGGCCTCAAGATTCTAAACTGAAAGAAACCCTCCATTGAGATTTTCCAGAACTGGGGCTCCTGGGTGCGAGAAGCTGTGTGATGCCCGGATGCCCATGGTGAATCTGTACATACAGAAAGTCATCAGCTCCTGCTCTGCTGTAAGGGAAGGGGACTAGCAATTCCAGGGCTCGTGGAGTTTGCCGGGCACTGCAATGAAAACTCTGTGTACCTTGCTTCATTTATCCGAGGAGGACCCTAGACAGCAGGGTGCTTGTCTCCCTGCCTCAGAAGAGGAAACCGCTTGTGAAAGGAAGCAGCCACATTCAAACAGCAAAGAAGCAGCAAGGCTGAAACTCAAACCCAGGTCCATCTGTCAGGTGTCCAAAGTCCTGCTCTTACACCATACCCTAGGGTGGGCGCTGGGTTCAAGTGCGAGTCAAGAAGGCAGCTGCCACTGTGTCTTCCCGGGCCCTCTCTGCTCTGGGGAGGGCTTCCCCAAGGCCGTGCCTCTGCAGCTGTCCCCTGACTAATCCCCCATTTTTGGCTAGGAAGCTCAAGGAACAGAAAGCATGCCCTTGTTGGCTGTCTCCCTGAAAAAATTCTACACAGAGCATCTGTCCCTCACCCTGGGGAAGGGAGGGGACCAACTCGCTCCCAGCAGCTGTTACATCTTGGTCTGATGTTAAGGAGGAAGGCTCATATTCCACAGGATGGAGGGAGGGTTGGGCCACAGCAAGGCAGTGGGGAGCCCCTCCCTGTCCAGGGGGATGGGCAGAATGGCGGGGAGGGTGGGGCCGGCCACACTGGGAGAAAATAAGAATGGAGCTGAGGAGGGGACCGCAGGGTCCTGTCAGCCCGGCACACTCCAGCAAGCAGTGGGTTTGCTTAGGATCTCCCTCTTCCAAGAACCAGACTTGCCCAACCCCGTTAATCCAGGTCCCCAATTTCTCCGCAGCAGAGGGAGAGTAAGTCTGCATGACGCCCTCGCACCTGCCCGCCCTCAACTCCACAGTCCTCGGTCACCCTGAAGCTCCCAGAGCAAGGCCCAGGGCTGGGGAGGAAATGGAGGGCGGAAGGGCTGCTGGAGGGGTTGGAGCCCAGAGCTTTCCTCACCCTGACCTCGCCTGGACTTCCTTCCTGCTTCCTCTTCCCTTAGGTCTCCTCCCAGAGAACAGTCATCTCTTTCTCCTGTGCTGCGAATTTGCACTTTAAGAAGCTCTTTTACATAAGGGATCCGATTCCATAGTCCTAACTCTGGGAGGGAGGAATTATCATCCCTACTGTATAGGAAATGGGAGTCTAAGAGAAAGATGACCAACAACAGGTGACATGAAAACCAGGCGGGTGGGGTTGGTCACTTCTTGGGCTTTCCTTCCAGAGAAAAGGGAAACCCCATCTCCAGCGCCTGGAGCTGTGGATTCGTATCCCCTTAAGCACATTTTCTTCTTGTGTTTTGTTTTTGTGTGGATGAGGCAGTGTCTGGCGTGACCACAGGGCCTAGCACATGCTAGGCAAGCCCTCCACCTTTCCAGCGCCCACCTGGAAGCACTTTGAAAAGCAAGCACTGAGAAGGGCATCCCCCAGGCTGGGAAAGCCTGAGTTGGTGACCCCAGCTGGATCGGGGCCTGTATCCTCAGGGATTTCAGCCCGGGAAAACCCCCTGGGCTCAAGGACACACCACCCCATCTCTCCTGCCCCCACATGCTTGTGTCTGTGGACTTCTGACTTTGTCCAGGAGGGAGGCAGACAGACATGAGGCAACCAGTCGGGCTCTGCCAGTCTAGATCCTCCTTCCTCCAGCCTACCCCCCCACCCCCAGCTCCACGGCCAGACACCAGCTCAGTGAAGCCTCCCTCTCTCAAGGTCGTCTCTGGGCTGGCCCGCAGATTCAGACTCCAGCAGCTCAAGAGCTTCCCTCCTGGCTTCGATGAGAATCTCTGTGTGGCATGTCTCCTTGTCCCCACCCCCAGCCCTCCAGGGTGACAAAGCCTCAGAGGCCTCTCCTTCCCGCCTCACTGCAATGAGGCCAGTCTAGCCCTTTCAGACATGTGGCCCTGGGCAGGAGTGTGCACCCCTCCTGAACATGCACCCCCTGCACACCCCGCCCTCCTATGCCCCAGACACTGGAGCAAATGGCTTTTCTGCTGCTTCTATGCCACTGGTCCCACTCAGCCTTCAGACTCAGGAGGGAGTGGAAGTGCTTTATGCTGTGGCCACCTGCAAAGGGACTGTGAGCAAGGGAGTGAGCACTGGAATGAGAGTTCAGACTCCTGAGTTTGACCACCTGGAGCTCTGCTTGCTCATGGGACATGTGTCAAAAATCAGCACCTTCCTGGTGAAGCTTTCTGTTGCTCAAAGTCTATCCAAGCCCCAGGGGTATGTTG